TTATACCAGTTTCTGAAATGATCTATTCAGGAGTTAAAATGAAAAAATTCTCTTTATAACCTAAAGTTTGGTCTCATGAGACTTTTACACAATTATTTGAACAAAGTCTGTCACTGATGAGATAGAAATTATGTTCTTGGGGCATCCTGTTCCAAGAACACATTTTAATATGAGAACCAGAGTCTGGCTTTCCCTTTGACAAATTAAAATGAAAATACTAACTAAACGGCTCTCACAGAATTTAATAACATAGAATTAAACTAATAGATGTTAATGGAAGTGTGAAGGGTTATTACATCAAAGAGAGTCCAATAACAAACAAATTAGGTAGGGTTGTCATTTACTGCTTCACCAGGACAAGAACAAAGAGAAACAAATCAATATTGGTGATTTAAGAATTTGGTATCCACGAGGGCTCATTTGCCAGGCTCCCGGTCTGTACCTGATATGGTATCTTCAAGATGTCAGCGTCTACATGCTTATTCTTAGATAATGTTTTATTTTATTGCCCAGGTTTAGCTCCCCACCCCTGAGACTTTTAATGAATGGATAATTATGCATTACTTTAGACCCCTCTAAAAGCTTCCGTTGTTTGTTTCTGTGCACAGCTTCTAGGAAAAGCATATGAAGTGACTCCCTGCCCACGAGAGTCTGAGGCCAGAGGATTATGCGTGTGAAGCCAATCTAGACTGCACAGTACAATTCTGTCTCCACAAATTAATTAGCATTAAATTAGAAATAGTACTAATTTGCCATTAGATTTTTAGAGTAGAGAAGAAAAAGGCATGCCCCTGTAACAGAACATTAGGTAAGAATTGAAATCTATTATAAGAACATTTAACAACATTAAAATATGGTCAATTGCCAAACCTACACTATGAAACTCATGTATAGAATGGCAGAGTATCGTAAGATTGTTGGAAAGATGGATGCTGGAGAAGAAAGAACCAAAGCAGACAATGATGGCAACCACTGTTGAGTGGCACCGAGATTTTTCTTCTTTATTATGTTTTGTTTTATTTTTATCAAAAAATAACTAACTACAAATATTTCCTGACAATTCAAGCAAAGACTATTACCAGGAAATTTGAAGGCTAGGGCAAGATTCTTTTTAAAATGTTTTAAATCTCCTTAGATGAAATAAATCATGAGACAAATATTTAAATCATTAGAGTATATTTACTAAGATCCTTTTGGGGGGTTGAAAAATAGTCACTAGGGAGTTGTGTGGTGGTCTGTAATCCCAGATGCTGGAAGGGAGAGGGAGGAGAGTACAGAGTTCAAGGTCACCTTCAGTTACAAAGTGAATTAAAGGCCAAGCTGGGATACCTGAGAGCTTGTTTGGGGAAGGGAGGGGAGGGGAGGGGAGAGAGGGAGAGAGGGAAGGGGGAGGGAGGACTAAAGAAAAAAAGAAAAGTAAAATGAATTACTGAAGCTGAGTAAGTTCAAGGGCAAACACATATCCCCTAATATTTAGTAGGAATGATGATACCCAGGCCCCCACTTCCATTTACTCATCATTTCACTTTCTTGCAGTTTCAAGGACCTTCAGTCATCTGTGGTCAGAAAATGTTAAAAATAAACTTCCAGAAATAATTTTCTAGTTTTATTTTCATGCTCTCTAGACTACTATGAGGAACTCTCACACTGCCCTGCTCTGTTCAGCACGAGACTTGAGTCATAACTTGGGTTCAGTGTATCCACACTGTGATTGCTACCTCCCCATTGCTTAGCTGTTATCCAGCATGTCCACACTGTGTGTGCTACCTCCCCATTGCTTCGCTGTTAACCAGCATGTCCACACTGTGTGTGCTACCTCCCCTTTGCTTAGCTGTTAACCAGCATGTCCACGCCATGTGTGCTACCTCCCCATTCCTTAGCTGTTAACCAGCATGTCCACATCATGTGTGCTATCTCCCCTTTGCTTAGCTGTTAACCAGCATGTCCACGTCGTGTGTGCTACCTCCCCATTGCTTAGCTGTTAACCAGCATGTCCACGTCGTGTGTGCTACCTCCCCATTGCTTAGCTGTTAACCAGCATGTCCACGTCGTGTGTGCTACCTCCCCATTGCTTAGCTGTTAACCAGCATGTCCACGTCGTGTGTGCTACCTCCCCATTGCTTCGCTGTTAACCAGCATGTCCACACTGTGTGTGCTACCTCCCCATTGCTTAGCTGTTAACCAGCATGTCCACGTCGTGTGTGCTACCTCCCCATTGTTTAGCTGTTAACCAGCATGTCCACGTCGTGTGTGCTACCTCCCCATTGCTTAGCTGTTATCCAGCATGTCCACACTGTGTGTGCTACCTCCCGATTACTTAGCTCTTATCTCAGTTATCAGATCAGTGGTTCAGGTACTGTGGTCTCTACATTCAAGAAATGCTTCTTGTAGATGCAGAAGAACTTGTGATAGATAAAAAAAAAAACTTGCCTCTTTAATAAATGGCACTGCAAAAACTTGAAAGCCTCAGATAGAAGACTGAATCCGTATTTGTCATCCTGCACAACAATTAATTCCAAAGTGATCAAAGACCTTAATGGAGGCCCTAACTAAGACTTGGAAGGTATTAGAGTGGGGAGGGAGCAGAGGGGGCATGGGAGGAGGGAACAGGAGGAGGGGGACCAGGAGAGGCTGTGGTCAGGATGTAAAATAAATGAAAAAAGCATAAATGAAAATAGATATGAAAAACAACAAATATTAAAATGAAAAGAAAGAATAGAGATGTGGTGAATAGGATTGGTTAAAGTATATTATATGACTATAGTTATGAAATATCATAGTGAAACATTGTACATGTGAGAGACAGAGAAGGGAGAAGGGAGAAGAGAGAAGGAGTGAAGGAAGAGAGAAAGAGAGCTTGAACCTCAGGCATGTTTGCACACTCCTATAATCTAAGCACTTGAGGGCTTGCGGCAGAAGGATCATGAATTTGAGACCAGACTGGGTAACACAGTGAGACTCGGTCCTAGAAACAAAACAACTACCACCAGTAACTGTCATTTTCCTAATAATGGTCCCGAATTCCAGAGTAGTCATGTTTCTAACTATTGGTATTGATCTCTTACTGTGTCTAGTTTATACATAAAACTGACCATAGGTGTGTTTCTAACCAAAATACTGTGTCCAGTCTTTATGGTCCATGAGTCAGGTATCAGTGGCAGCCCTGGAACACACCCTTCCTTCCAGCACAAATGATTCCTGTGGGCTCAGTGCAGCCTGTGGGACCACCAATATCAGCATCTCTTGGGAACTTACTACAAATGGATATTCTTGACGGTCCACCCTGGACCAACTGAATCAGAAATGGCCAGGGAGCCCAGGTATATCTAAAGCCCCCCCCCCCCGCCAGGTAGTTTTAATACATGTTGAAGTTTAGAAATGTCTATTAAAGATTTTGAGTTCTGAGACTGGACTAGAATGATTTCTCAAAAATTAGAGCCTGGCCTGGTGAACCAGGCTTATAGGTCTGTGACCATAGAGCTATTTCAGAGACTGAGACAGGAGGATGACAAGTTCAAGGCCTATCCAGGCCACAGAGAGAATTCAAGGCAGGCTTGAATGAAACTCTGTTTCAACATAAGAAATACAAAAAGAACTGGGTATGTTGCCCAGTGGTAGGGTACCTGCCTAGTGTGTGCAAGGTCCTGGCTTGAGTCCCTAGAACCATGAAAAAAGAAATAAAAAAAGGCATGATATAGTTGTACATTCTTTTAATCCCAGCTCTTGAGAGTCAGAGATAGGTGGGTCTCTGTGAGTTCAAAGCTAGCCTGATCTACATGGCACATTACAGACAGTAAGAGCTACATAGTAAGGCCATATCTAAAAAGAGAAAGGAGAAGAATAACCTTTCTTGTAAAGAAGTGTCCTTTCTTGTGCTGTTTTCCGTTCTTTCTCTGTCCCTGTCCGTAATCAATATATAAAATAGACCAAAAACAACATTCTGATGCTTTTTGGCTTACTCCTCATATATTCATCTTGTTTCCCTAAAATATTTGGGGCGGCTCACAGAGGCGGGTCACTTGAATCCGTCACCTAGTTATGACACTGGTAGTCTCCATTAAACATCTCATTTCACTTACTTTGAGTCTTAATTGCAACCTTTAAAAGCAGATGTATTTGTTTCCGCATTTTACAATCACTTAGGAAAGATGAACCAAAGACAAAGGGCAGCACCATTTCTGGCTGTCTTCTTGCTGCTTCCTGCCTCCTGACATGGTACAGAGGCAACCATCCTCTCTAAGACTTTTAAGGTCACCTCCCCGACAAAGATGGCTCTGCTCGCACAACCTAACTGCCTTCTAAAAGACTCTAGCCCAGAAAGCCATGATTGGGGTGGGCATGAGATGGGGTGACATTTTAAGATGAACTTCGGAGTTGGGCACAACCATTCAGACCCCTGCAGAGGGGAAGCAGGCAAAAACCATTCATCCATGTGCTTACAGATCTCACCCAGTTACTGCCCTCCACTGCCGTTAGCCATAGAGACAGGGGTCCTGCAATTACATGCTTGGACCTGAAGATGAGGACAACCAGTGGCTTTGCCAGTCAGGGTTTCAGCTTCTCATTGAAAATCAAGTGTGAGGACATTGTTCGTGGCAGCGAGTGAAGAAGAAAAGTTACGTCCATCGCATAGCCCCCCACGCTGGCATCTGTGCTTCTGGGTCTCGTAGCCATGGCCATTGTTTGCACATGCATCGTTTCTGGCCTGTATTTGGGTTGTAAAGAAAGACAGGCTGGTTCTGAAGCCTGGGTACCACTGTGGGTAGTTTATCATGCCATAACATAATCTACTAGAGGTTGAAGACTGTGTTGTGGGATCAACATAAAAACCTTGGGTGTTTTCTCCCAGAGATCAACCCCTTTCTAACAACCTTGCCCTGAAGGACACACGGTGGTGTTTTAAAAAGTCTCAGGGCTTGCGTGGCTTTATGCCCGCCGGCCCTAACTTGCATGTCTTTATGCTTGCAGCCACTGATGGCTCTTTCCCCTCTCGCTTCCAGTCACAGCAGAAGTGCATTGTGGTCTTCGCTCTGGTCTGCTGCTTTGCCGTCCTGGTCGCGCTGATATTCTCAGCTGTGGACATCATGGGAGAAGATGAAGACGGACTCTCAGAGAAAAATTGCCAAAATAAATGTCGGTAAGAGGTAACAACCAAAAATTCTCTTTTAGGGGGTGGGTGAGAAAGTCAGGGAGGGGTCTGGACAGGACGAGAGAAATGTCTGCTGGGATCTGTTTTCAGGGAGACTTAGTGGAAGCCTCCCTCCATCTTCAGAGATGCCTGCGTTTTATTAGGTCAGGCAGTAACCTAGACTAATTATTTCATCTGCTTGACAACCTGGCCCTAGTATATACAGAAAGGTGGTTGAACAAATAAAATATTTGACAACTGCATTTCTGGAGACTTGTGTGTATGATGTTTTGATCCACTCCCTGAAGAAGCCTAGCAAATGCAAGTGCCCAGATGGACAGAGAACACTTTCTAGTTGTTTATGGGGTGGAAGTTAACACATACATCCCAGAGTACATTTTAACAGGTAAGAGCAGGAGCTCCCCCAGTTGGCTGCGGCTTAGGACACAGTTGATTATTTGCTTATTCATTTTAATCTAGACATTACAACAGCTTTATTAACCATTTAATATCACAGGGCATATCTTAAGATGTCAGTAATTCATATATGTCATGGGTCCCACAAGATTCATTGCCCCCAGCAGATATTCAAATACAGTGTTCTGTTCATGTGGTGATGAATATCTGCTGGGGGCAATGAATCTCATTTTTTTGCCCCCACCTGTCAGCAAAGTACCCTACTTCAAGTGAGGAAAATGCAGTGAATGACCAGGACTATGAAATAATAAGGATCTGAATCTAAATTGCATTCTGTCCTCTCTGGGTTCTGTTTGCATGGGTCACAATTAAGTCTCTCGTCTGCTGTGAGAAAGCCCGAGAGACTTAGCAAGGAGCTTTAAAGCCCCTTGGAGAGTCGGTCACAATGGACTGTGGCGAGGATTACAGTGGGAATGTCCGACACAGTGCAGGAAGGACATCTGTCCTTGGATTCTTCATCCCTTAGATGGATTATTATGGTGATTCTAGTCCCAGTTCCCTTAAAAATGGGAAAATATCAAAAACCTGTCCTACAAGGTCTATATGGGTTCATCGAGTTGTCTAAATCCATAGCAAAGTAACAATATAAAAATGTTGATTCTTTCCCTGCTTGTTCCACAGACTCCAAAAACCCTTTTCCGTGTCCCCTACTAACCTCTCACTTCCGACTTGCCTTGAGTCTGTCTTTCGCCTGATTTTAGTTCTTGCTTCCGTGGAAATCTGTGAATACTCTCACCTCATAGGAACCCGGGGTACCCTCCAAGCTTATTATAGTGAGAACTTGTTGTCACAAGGGACTCAGTGCCACCAAGTGTGCTTTCCAGAGATCCTGAGGGGCATAGCAGTGGGAAGAAGGTGGCTGGCGTCTCTCAGAAGGGAGGCTGCCTATGTGGGGCAGCATGGGGTGGCCAGCATGATTTGTGAGTAGTTAGAGGAAGAATGCTTGCTTTGCTGTGGTTGGCCCTTAATCTGAAGTCGGGGTGGGGTGGCGGAGTCAGGAAAGCTGGTAGTTACTCCCCAATTCCTAGCTGCTCAAGGCCAGCAATCATCTAAACTATTGTTCAGCTGCCAGCACTGTCCTTGGAGTTGACAGTCTCACTTCCTACAGGCCTGGCCTGGTGGTCCAGGGAGTTGGTTTCCTGGGCAAGTTGCTACAAGATATGGCCAGAGTTGAGTTGTGATCTCACAATGGTATAGCTGCTATCCCTTTGTCTATTCAGTCTTCATTCCATAAATTTCCCAGTACTGATCTGTCCCTTTCAAGGGCTCATTTGCTTGTTTGTTTTAGTTTTTTTGAGAAAGAATATTATGCAACATCAGTCGGCTTTGCCCTGCTGATTTTCCTGCCATAGCCTTCTAAGCACAGGCGCTGCCACTCTGGCTAGGCTCTTCTGTTTTAATTTGGCCAAACTTCTGCTAAACCACAATGTCCACCTCCGTGCTTCCTCCAGCACCAAGTGTGGCTCACCTCCTTGAAGCATGCTGTTAATTTTTACCCCAGACCTCTGGGGCATCTGTGTCCTCAGAGGGTTTGAATCCCATGTTTTCTAGCTCTTTTTCCGCCAGGCACAGATGCTACTAATAAAAATGCCCAGGCTGTTCCAACAGAGGTACGTAGCCGAGCTCCTGAGACTGGTGCAGCCCAACAGGAGGAAACGCTCTGGTTTGTAGGTGCTTCGTCAAGCCCGCATTGCTTCACCTTCTCTACTTCTTCAGGCTCCTGCTCTCACCGCCTCACCCCTTCTCTGCCTCTTTTCCGACTTTCCTCTGTGGTGACACTCACTGTGACAAGTGACACTACTCTCCAATGGCTGCATCCGTTTTCTCTGGATGCTTCTCTGTAGGCTTCTCTGCTGGCAGTGTTACCAGAAACAGTGTCATGTGCCCAGGGCAACCTTTGCTGAGATCTGTAACTTAGAAAGTAAACACCCTGATTTGTCTGTCTGCTCACTCCTGAAAGCTGAAACCAGCCTGGCAGCTCTCTTCTCCGTGTTTTGACAGCCTCTCCCCAAGTTCTTTCCTTCCCTTGCTCTTTTCCAAAGGTCTCCCTGCAATCCATCTTGTCCACTCACTAGCCCATCTATCCTGTGATGGATCTTGGGTCTGGATCACGCTGCTCAGTCAGCTGTCTCAGCTCTTCCACTTTTGTTAATGTATCTTGCCATGATCTTTTCTGTCTGCTTTGCTTGATTTGTCTCACATGTTACCTTTCTGATGTGTGACTGACCTAGCAGGAGATAATCTACACTCTCCCATCATTTTCCCATGGAGGTATATAAAATACAAACTATTCAAAAACTGTCCTCCCCATACCTTTTATTTAAGTTTAAAGACAGAATCTTGCTGCATTACCAAGGCAGCTTATTTTTGTGTTGGGATTGCATCTCTCTGCTGTCTTCTCTTTTGAGCTTACCTCTTATAAGGACACCTAACTGCCTTCTTGTCATTTCAAGATCCCCGGTCCAGAATCGCAACCAAGTTTGATTAGTCATATTTTTACTACTTCCTACATATACATGACCAACTGTTTTGTGGCAACTTTGACTTCTGTTGGTGACATTAGCATTTTTGATCCTTTGCTACATACCAGACTGGATTTAAAAAAAAATCCTGAGTAACCCACATGTTGTCATCCCCAATCCTGCCATTTTATATAGTACTTCAAAGCTCAGCACTAAGCTTTTATTTATTTTTTTTATTTATATTTTTGGATTTTTGAGACAGGGTTTCTCTGTAGTTTTTGGTCCCTGTCCTGGAACTAGCTCTTGTAGACCAGGCTGGCCTCGAATTCACAGAGATCCGCCTGCCTCTGCCTCCCGAGTGCTGGGATTAAAGGCGTGCGTCACCACCGCCTGGCAGTGCTAAGCTTTTAATAGGCAATAATTTTCAGGTGATCCAAGTACACATTACTGCACAGTGCTGTTTATTGGTGTAATATGTTTGACTGGAGCCAATTATTGTATCTCCATAATGGAATTGTCTGTGGGGTAACAACTGAGGATTATGAGAGCAGAAACTAAAGTGTAGAAGATACAACTAGAGCCTGTCATGAAAACGAGTTATCATACAACCACACAAAGTTCTGATCTCTGCTTCTTGATGGGCGCAGTGATTGGCAACAACCAGTTTTGCCTTTTAATGATAACATCCCCTGTTTCCCTAAGAGGATAATCTTTGACATATTTTTTCAAAGAGGAATTCCAGACAGATAGGTGCCTTGGCTGTTCAGTGGTATAAAAAGCTTCTCTATCTTAGTTAGGGTTGCTATTGCTCTGAAGAGACACCATGAACATGGAAACTCTAATAAAAGAAAACATTTAATTGAGGTTGGCTTATTGTTTCGAGGTTTAGTCCATTATCTCCATGGCAATGTACAGGCAGACATGGTGCTGAAGAAGGAGCTGAGAGTACTACACCTTGATCTGCAAGCAGCAGAAGCAACCCTGTGTCACATAGCTTGAGCATAGAAGACCTCAAAGTCTGCTTCCACAGTGACACACCTCCTCCAACAAGGCCACACCTCCTCCAACAAGGCCACACCTCCTCCAACAAGGCCACACCTACTCCAAGGCCACACCTCCTCATAGCGCCACTCCCTATGGGCCAAGCCTTCAAATGCATGCCTGTTCAAACCACCACGAGCTCCTTGTAGAATATGGCTGCACTTAACTTCATTTGCATGGGTCCACAGAGTAGGGTCCATGGGTCTTAGGAAGACTTAACTGACCAGTGTTCTATGATTAAAGTGTCCTGTGCCTGATTGTTGTTTTCACCAGTGTACCTGACGTGTTCCTCCCCTACAGACAACCTTCGTCCTTAGCCTGGGGCCAGGGGCAAGAGCTGTCAGGAAGGAATGGGTTTTGTGCAACCCTAGCTTACCTCCTCAGGTGGCAGTGATAGGAGCTAATTCCTAAGAGACAGAGTCAGCGGAAGCCAAGAGGAACCATTCAGAACTGTGTTTGGGTTGGTCACAGGCAGAGAGACTTCTATGTTCTTTCAAAGAAAAGAAATTTGCAGAGGAATTGCTAAAATGAAATTGAATAATTTAAGATTATAATTTTTCTCACTGGCATTAAGTAAATAACTTTCAGCAATAATTAGAAGCAGAAGATAAGAGCTTAATTCTAACTGAAGGCGAAGAGAAGCCTCCAAACACGGTTCAGAGCAGACATGTTAGTGCTCTGGACTTGACTTTCTTACATAATAGCACATATTAACATTTTTATCTCACCTTTGAGCCCAATCAAATTCATATTTCCTAAATATGAGATATTGTTATTAGTAGTTATACTCAGAAAATGATGTTTATATAGCCCCAGCTAAAAAGAAATCTAAAATTATTTTTTTAAATAGTACCTTATCTTTAACATGTGGTGCTTTAAAAGAGGAAATCCGGGTGAGCATGGCATTTCCTGGTGGTCCATGATTGCCACTCAGGGAAGCAGCAGAAGCTAATTATTTCATAGTTTTGATTTTAATGACTTAATATACAGCTAATGATGCTGACATTTCCTGTTGCCGGGTTGGCTCTC